GCCCACCTAAACATTGGCTTTGGCTTTAGCCCTGAGATTGCAGATACGTGAAGAGTCTCAGGGTGGCACGACTTCATGTTCTGTACACGCTCATTGAAGCGAGCGACGTACTCCTTCAGGCTTTCGTCATCTTTTTGAACGATGTTGGTTATCAACTCTTTAGGGATCAGAAAGACTTGGGCTCCGATGAAGTGGGAGCGAAAAGTCGATCTGAGCTGGCTCCAACGTCGGATGGATTGAGCTGGCATGGAGTAGTACCATTTTTGAGCTTTTGGCCCTAGGGTTAGGGAAAACATGCGGCATCTCAGGGCGTCGATGGCCCTGTGCCGGTCCATCCATGAGATATAGTGGCCGAGGTGAGCGTCTGGGTCCGACGTACCATTATAGAGGCCGCCTTGTGGGACTTTGATTTTTCCAGGTAGCGGCTCTAAAGTTAACTCGGGCGCCAACGGCGAATCTATTTCCACGTACACGTGGCCTGGCTCCTGAGTGCGTGGGTTGGGCGGCGATCTCGCCCTCGTGCTTGTAGGGTCTCAAGTTCAGCAACCCTCATTCTCAGAGCTTCCATTTCAGGATTGTCTCGTCTGATCGACCGAACTCTCTCTATCTGATGTCGGAGGTTGGCAGAATTCCCCGTCTGCCGAAATAGAGGTCTGGCGATGGCCGTATCTCTCTTGACGTGTCCAGATTGGCTCTCCACCGTCATCTAGGTTGTCTACCTGGGGGTTCGCCATTTGGGTAGGCGGTGCGACTCTCGAAGTTCTTGGCTTAGCCTGTGCCAGCAACGCGGAGAATCCTTTTGCGAACTCCAGGATTTGCATGAGAGTCGTGGGATCAGGTATCACTGCCGTGTTGGCTCTTCTAGTGGATGGGGCTTGGCCGCGACTGGCCCCGCCCCTAGACATCTGGTCTTCTTGTCCTGATTGTGCCATCGCTCTTTAATTTGAGCTTGAATGACGATTTTTATTCTGCTTTGTTAAAGAGTGTTATATTCAAAGATTGACCTCAAAGTATCTTATGAGGCCCTCCTTCTAGCGCCAAACTATTGATAAACGGATTTGATCAACTATTTAAGTGTAAAATATTACGGATTAAGACAGAATTAGGGTGGTTTTATTGATAAAATGTGGTGTTCTTTTAAGTAGTCACAAGTCGGTATTTCGAACACGAGGTCGGTTTTCTTTACAAGAAGTCGGTTTCTGATAAAAATCAAGGTGTTAAATGCGGTATTAAATGTGCCGCAAAAAAATCCTCGTATCGAGTTTAGTTCACCTATTTATAGTAACTTTCGGCCCATCTATTGAGGAGATTCAGCGGCATTTAATGCGTTATGACAACATAGGCGCAACTTTTCCAGTAAATGGGTCCTCTAGCAATGATGCCTTCACGTGGGTCGAGGCGTTTGATGGACAGGCATTTAATGCAGCCTGCGGGAGCCGACGTCGGCTCTCAGAGATCACGACTTGGTCAAAGTCTGTCTTTTTGTAGAGGTCGGTCTCGTTAGCTCGGCAAATATTCTTCCCCTTTACTCGGCGCGTCCCTTTGTCTTCCCAGTTGTCCACGTGTCGCCAATCCAACTTGCGAGATGATTTTTATGTCAACACACATTATTTTTGGCCGAGCTTGCGATAGAAGAGTATGTACCTTGAATTGGGCTTATTACTTCGAGTTTGTTTTCCTTGTTGCTTATGGTATCTATCAAGGTGAAGTTACGATCTTGGCCGAAATCTTGTGTACATGCTCAGTTTTTTGACTTTGTTATATTTTTCTTGTGTGCTTGAGTGTTAGGAGTTAAATCTATGTCTATCTTGTTATAAAAGTCTATACTTTGTCAAAGCGTAATTATTTAGTTAACAAGGCTCGGTTTATTTACCTAGGATCTTATTGCTAGCATATTTTCTCTTCGTTTATTTTTGTTTTCATCAAGCCTAAGGAATTTTGGACAACCAAAGTTTACATTTTTCATTCGAAGTTTGCATCTTTATTCTGCTTTAAATTCTTAGTTGCGATTATTTGAAATCAATCCCAACTATCATTATTAGTATGTTTAGGATTTTATTTGCTCTTTTTGTTCCTTTGGACAACTAATTAGTAGGCGAAGCTCCGAACCGTCTTTCTTTAAGAGATGACCCAAGTTCGGATAACTCGGTTATCAACTTATCCCACTAAAAATCAACCTATCATGTGAAAAATCATCCTTTATTTATGTTGTGAGTCAGTTTATGACTGCTCCAAGAGTCACTCATCATTCTGATGTGTTGCACATCTTCGCTATGTGAACGACACTCTATTGCATGGTTTACACTTCTCGGACTGTTCTTCTCTCTCAATTAGAGGCTACTTTGATGCAGATAGGGCTGAAGATCCTACATATCATCGCTCCACTACTGGGTATTGCTTCTTTTTGGGTGACTCATTCATCTTTTGGTGCAGTAAGAAGCAAATCTTAGTCTCCCGTTCGAGTGATGAGTTCGAGTATCGTGCTCTTGCTAATTCCACCGCAAAGCCATTATGGTTGTGTCGCCTACTTGTTGATCTTTGTGCGCCTCAGTCGTCATCTACTACTCTTCATTGTGATAGTCAGAGTGTTATAAAGATGTCTCATAATTATGATACATTTCATGAGTGCACCAAACACATTGAGATTGATTGTCACTTAATTCGACAACATGTTGCCCATGAGATTGTGCAACTTATTTCAGTCTCCTCTACAGATCAAACAACAGATGTCTTTGTTTGTCCCATTTTTTTGTGGTTTTCGTTATTATTTTTTTTTCCGTTCTTTTCCCCCGTTTTAGGTCTTTGCGTTCGTTTTTAGTTCATTTTGTGTTTTGTTCTTTGTCTTCCTCTATCTAGAGTCTTTCTTGTATTTTTGGTCGTTTTTCTGGTTGTTTTGTTCGTTGGTGTGCAGGTTAGAAAGTTCGGGGAGATTTGCTTTCTGTGATAAATGGATCAGGGTGAACATATGTACGTAAAGTGATTCGTCGGGCAAGCGTGACTAAATGGAGTTTTCCGCTGAAACAGAATTGAATACTAAGTATAAATGAGCTCGAGAAAGACCGAGAAGTAAAGTCGACCAAGCTCTTCCTCACGACAGCAGCACGTCCTCCATGCGCGACGGCCATCACGAGCGCACCGAGAAGACGCATTCCACCGCCGCGCCATGAAGACCCCATCACGCCGCGCCACCCTTCTCTGCCGCGCCGTGAAGATCCTACCGCACCGCGAAGAAGAGCTCTCTCACGCCGCAGGACTGTTGCCATACCGGGAAGATTCCCTCCGCCACGCCGCGAAGCTCATGCCCATAACTGCTCATGCCATGCACGATCATCCACCACGCATTGAGGAGAACGCCTGCCACGCCGTGTCGCACCTCCACGCCATGTCGCACCTCCACGCCGTGGAACCCATTCCCGTCGCGCCGCGGCACCCTGCATATTTTCCCTGCCCGCCAGGTTTCAAGGCCGCGGTCGTGACTTCTCCTTCCCCGCGGCCGCGACGAACAAACGGTCCCAAGCGCCCAACCTCCTGCAAAAAAAAGTCGCGGCCTCGAGATGATTCGCGACCGCGGAACTCTTCTTCACCGCCGCGAGCCTCTTCGCGACCGCGACCCACGCATTAGCAGATTTTTAAACGCTGATGTTGTGAGCGATTTTTATTATGTTGGATACCTAGGTTTTAAGTTATTCTCATTCCTTAGCTTTCGAACTCGTTTTTCACTTTTCTTTTCACAATTTCGGACGTAGAACACATATTCGATTTCAAATTTTGCTATTTCTTTGGATTCAAGCTTGTCTATCGGATTATCATTCAATTTTGGGATTTATTAATCGTAAGATCCTTCTTTTCAATTAATTGATGAATATGGATTCTTTGATAATTAGGATTTTGATTGTTGATTCGATTATGCGTAGCTAAATTCGTTAGCTAGGGTTAGGGGATTATTGTTCCGGTTCGATTTCGTTTATATGCGTGTTAATTGCTCAATCTTTTCGAGTTGTGCTAATCCTAGGGTTAGATGATTGATCACCATCTTATCTAATTAATCGATTTTAGAACCGAAAGGGGTTGGTTATGTAAAATGTATTCTTATGCTGTAGGAAAGTTTAGGCTCAACCTAAGGTTAAGACCCATTTATGTATCTATATATGTGTACATATCTTTATGAATAAAATCAGATACTTTTCGCACATTCTTACATGTGCAAAACAATAGAATACATATAAGTTGTTTAATGGAACATGAATTCTCATTCTCATTCAACATAAATAGTGTAAATAAAATCTAAAGTCAAGCTTTCAATATATACACTAACTCATTTATCATTACTTAATCATATTAAATATTTCATTGGAAATCAACTTTAAAAAATATATAAATAACTCAAAATATTAGATAAGCTTAAATGCTTGGAGCATCTCTCTTTCCCAATTCCGTTATAGAAATGCTTGTAAAAATTAATTTAGCCATCCAAATATATAAAAGAAAAATTACATTGACATTGATAAAACTATATATATTTAAATAAAACTATATATATTTAAATTAAAAGAATAACAATAATAAGCCATGAGTGTGTTTGAATTGAAAGGTCTATTTTGAGCTAATATATAAATATCTGGTGAATAAACTCCAATTCCATTTTCTGCTAATTTACTCTTTTGTGTCCACTATAATACAATATAGTTGTATGGCACATTGAAATTGACAAGAAAAAAAAGAGAAATTCTTGCTCATACTCTCTCTTCCCTTACATATCTATTTATATCATATCATATCATCCTCCTTTTTAACTTCTTTCACTTGTTTTTTTCTTACCAGGTTAGTGTCTTAACCAACTGCAATCATAAACAATGTATTGTGCATATATATAAATAAATTCTTGCTTAGCTTATTATGGATGCTTTCATCATCATCCCTTTCAAGAAACAAATCACCTTTGATGATACAATGATTTGTTCTTTAATTTTCAGCTTAGTTACCGATCGTTGTGGTCGAATATGGATCAAGAATGGGAATCGGGCCGAAGAAACGGGAGGGGCAAAATTGAGATCAAGAGGATTGAGAACACCACGAATCGCCAAGTGACGTTCTGCAAACGAAGGAATGGGCTGCTCAAGAAGGCGTACGAGCTGTCGGTATTGTGCGATGCCGAGGTTGCCCTCGTCGTCTTCTCCAGCCGAGGCAGGCTCTATGAATATGCAAACAACAGGTCTCAATATATTTATTTTATATTTAATAATTCAAAAAGTTTTGTCTCTTTTTGTAGTTTAACTTCACATCAATCTAGTTGAACAATATACAAAATCTTATACTATATATCTTTGTGTAAAAAAAAATAAAAATAAAAATAAATTTTCTTTTATTTTTAATATAATAAATAGTCCTTGATCTATGTTATTTTGGGAAAGATTAGCATCTATAAGATCAATTGATTAAATTAATTAATTAAAACTCTAATGGAAAGCTGTCAAGTTCTTATTTGCTGAAACCTCCCAACACATCAAAATAGAAATCTAACCTAAGAAGAAGAAAAATAGGTGACTAGGGTTTGCAAAATATGCCTCTTTGATTTACGATTTTACCCTTTTCAAGAGTGGATGAATACATTAGGGCATGGACTATTCTTAGGGTTTGAAAATGGGTCTAAAAGTCATATATTTTGTTTTTTTTTTTCTTTTGAACCTCAGAATCTTTTGGCCATGATTTTTCTGACCACTGCTTTTATTCAGTGCTACCTTTCATCATTTTTTATGCTCCCAATTTCCAATTCAAAATTAATATTTTAATAAATACTAGATGATTGATGTTATTGTAAATAAAAAAATCTTGACAAATATAATAAATAAATATGTAAAATAATATATTTGATATTATTAAAAATAATTTGAAAAGTTGAAAATAAATGAAAAATATTTGTATGGGTATAAATTGGAGACAAATTAATTTTTACTCTACTCTAATTTAGTAAATTGTACCCTAAAAGTGGTGATATGAGTTAATTAGAGATGGCCTAACTCATTTTAGTTATATTTTTCTCCAATTTTTTTATTCTTTTTTTCAGATTTACGAAAACTTAATTTGTTTTTTTTTCGGAACATACAAAAAATATTATATAAATCAAAACGCAAAAATGTGCGAAAATACAACCCCAAGTTGAATAAAACAACCAAAAGCTGAATAAATGAAAGGATAGATCTGACGACCGCCTAGAATCCCGACTCTAGCAACACCAGAAACCATAATCAAGACTCACGAGACAACTAACACAACAAACACTAAGAAAAACTACAAAGTTCCGGACACGAAAAGAGCGTTAGAACTTATTAGAATAGAGAGGTGATAGACAAACAAGACTGTTACCATATCCATACATAGATTTCTGCTAATTTAAAAAAGTTCAATTTTATTGTGAGTGATTAAAAGGGGAAAATATATTTAAGAGGGAGAGCAATTTCGGGATTTTGAGTAAGTCGAGGTTGGGTAAAGAGGGGGTAGCTAGCCGTTGGATATTAACCGCGGTGCAGAAGGGGGGCCAGCTGACACGTGGCGTGATCCCGCAGCATTACTTAGCAGTAGCCAATCATGTTGTGGGATCTCGTGCCACCGTGGCAGATGGCAGCCAATCAGGGCGTCGACGAAATTAAGGTTGTACCTTATCCCCACTCAAACTGCATCTCTGTGTTTTCACTCTGATGTTACCTTTTATTAAAGGATGGTAAATTTTATATTTATATTTATTTATTTAATGTTTAATAAATAGAGCAACTGTCTGATTATTTTTTTATTATATTATTACGAAGTTTAATGCTATAAATTAAATAAATAAAACAACTTATATATAGATACATAACATAATAAGTCATCTTTTACTATCTTTTAATAACCTTAACAGAACTGAGATGAAGCAAAAATATATTAATTCAACCAATTATTTCACACAAGCACAAGCAAGCAGGCCCTTGGTGCCGTAGGCATAGTTTTTAAACCCGGCTTGGGGATTGGCTTAGATAGGTCTTTGGGTTATAGGGTCACCGTTTCAACCGCTAGGTCACCATGTCTATTGTTGAATCGGATAATTAATTTAAAAATTTTATAAGATATATACATATTTTGTATTTTTGTTATATAAATATACATAAAAGTGACAAAATTAAATGTTTGTATGTAAAATTTGTACATCAAAGTAAATATTTACAACATTGCATCTCATAATAAATATTTAACATATAAATATATATATATACATAATTTTTATTTTTAAAATTAAAAACATTTGTTAAAATAGAGGTCTGGTTAATCGGGTTGACCTGACCGGGTCAATGCTGGGTTGATTGGGTCCATTGTTACCTACCGAGACCGGTTCCGACTCCAAGTCGACTGGGTCTCGGGTAGATCCACTGGGCCGATCCGGGTTGAAAAACTGTGGTCGTAGGTAGTGACTGATCTAAAAATTTTATTCAGTGGGGCCCCATAAATGTTAAATAACGAACTTGTAATTTAAGTCGAAACACTCATTTAATATAAAAAGTGTGTGTACTTATATATATAAATATTATTTGTGTACCATCAAGTTGTTAAAAACTTAGAATTGGTATCACCCTCAATTTTTTTATTTTTTTTTTAAAAAATGACACTTCATGTATTTGTAATTTAAATTCAACATCTATAATTTATGGAAAATAAGTTTTTTGGTTGAAAGTTTGATTTAAATTGAACTTTTACAACACATTGCACATCATTTTTGTTGATGTGAGCTTATTAAATGACCATTTTTTTTTTTAAAAAAAAAAAAAATTATAAACATGTGGTTACACAAAATCATAAAGTAAAAAATCTACATTAAAAAATCTAACAATGCAACTAGTTTACTCGGTTTCATAAATCACTAAATTGACTTACAATCAAGAGACCGAAAGTGTAAATCATTGTAAATATATCTTCAAAAGTTATCTAAAATGTAAAATATAAGATTGTTAGGGTATTTTTTAGTATATATATATAATAATATTAACTTAAAATAAAATAGCATAGAAAATAAGTCTTAATTTTTTATATATTATAAATATTTTTTGTGTTTTTATCTATAATTTATTAGTATTTTATTTTTATATGTATATATATAATGATTTAAAAAAATAAAAAATTAGGGAGGCCCGTGACATAATTGATTTTGACTGCAAAAAAAATTAGGAAACATATAATATAAATGCATATAGTACATTTATAATTATTTATTTGAAAGTATTTTGGAAATTTACATGTGATACGGGAATCAATTTTTCCTAAAACAACAAGCTATATCTCCTTGTACCCCCCATCCTCTGCCAATATGGAAATTCGAGCTTTATTCAGAAACTTTACGACTTCAGCTACATCTCTAATTAAATAGGTAATATATTTGCTAACCAAAATATGACCAATTTCTCAAGTTTACACTAGTTGTTTTTGTGGGATTTGAAAAGTTTGTTAAACTTACTAATTACATGTTTATGTAACGGAAAAATTTCAATTTTGATTCGTTTACTTGTCTAAAGACATTTTTTTGGTACACTGACTTTTCCTTCATTAACAATAGTATCTTATGTTGCAATTTGTATTATTTTTGGGACATTACTCATCAAACACAGTATGTTATGTTACAATCTGTATCATTTTTAGGACATTAATCTCAATAAATAATGAACCATTTTCGAGATAATATCCTAACGTACAGTGATGCAAATTGTAACATAACGTACTATTATTTATGAGGGAAAAATTATTGTAACAAAAAAAGAACTTTAAACAAGTAAACAGAACAATTAAATTTGGGCCTTTATTTAACAATTATGGGTATGGTATTAGTAGGGAATGATATAATTAATTAAAAATGCTTTAATAAGGCACCATATAGGACTACTCTTTGTCTCGACTGTTCTTTGCTGGTTAAGGCCGGCTGATTTGTCGTTGAAGGGCTTTATGTGTGTTTTTTCTTCGTTGTCTTATGGTGTAGTAGGTTCGTGTTTTTGGTTTGGGCGCTTTGTCTGTGTGTCCATGTCATGTGTTCTTGGTTTGGGCAGTTGCCCCTGTACGCCCGAGTGTCAGCTTTATTATCATGTTGGGATCAGAAACTCTGGTATTATCCCGTTGGGATCTTTTGTAGTTTTCGTTGTGGTTTCTGTAGTTGACTAGTGTAGTGGCGAGTTTATCATTCTAGCTTTGCTAGCTTAGGATTTAGGCGGTCTTCGGATTGTCCTACCAATTTTAGGCCTTTGGTTGTACTATTCAGCTGTTGGCTGCTTTTTTTTTCGCACTTTGTGCGGTTTTAGTTATATATTACCTCTATCGTTTTGGCAAAAAAAAAAGGCAGCATATAATTTTCTTATTGGTTTTTAGGCGAATTATAATCTCTACGTATCCTCTTTATATCAAATTTTTGAATGCGTTGAGTTTAAGTGATAGACTCGTACGCCTCTAAGTTTACTTCACATAAGCTATTGTTTCGTATTGACACATGTACATGTTTAGTTTTGATTATTAAGTTTGAGAATTATCATAAAATATTTTACCTTTCATTTTTATTAAATTATCATATACTACTCTTATATTTTATTATTTAATTCATTTTATTAATTATTCTAAATATCTATTTATTTTATTTTTAAACCTTTATAATTTTTTATTTATATTTTATTTTTGTATATATAATATATATCTCAATAATCATATTTAAATGATCTTCAGTTTGATATCTATTTGCATCTCTGAAATAAAAAAAACAGTTTCATGTATCTTTGTAAATGAAACTAATTTTATCAAGAAGTCAATCTAAAAAATATCTAATAACAACATAAATTATTTTTTAAAAATAATAAAATCAAATTTATTAATATACCATACAATAATCATTTAATGTGTTTTTTTTCATAAATTTTGGATAAATATGAAAATTAAGAATTACATAAACCAAATTTTAAAAAATATTAATGTAAATTATTTCTTAGTTTAAATATATAAAGAACTAAATATTATTTGTGTTATTTAAAATAATTAAATGTACAGAAAAATCATAATTAAAAATAATAAAGTAATTTATATTCATATACTTAGAAAGTAATAAATCATGCGTATATTAATATTGTAAATTATTAAATATTATGTATTTAAAATACTTGAAAAATTATAAATCAGAGACACCGACTCTATAAATATAAATTATAGAATATAACCACAATACGATAAAACTTGTTTTGTTTTTCAAAAAAATCGATATTGGTTTAGGTGGATATCCATTTGTTAAGGTGCTCAATGAAGAAGAGGCAGTAATGCAAGTTACCCTCCATTGCTGAAGTTCTGTAAACTATAGACCAAGAACTTATAAAATAAATCAAATTCATTGAAAAATATCTCCTAATATACATACTGTGTGATTTTGTCTTTTTGAACTTTTGGACTAAAACCCCTACTAAGTTAGAGAGAGAGAGAGAGAGAGAGAGAGAGAGAGAGAGAGAGAGAGAGAGAGAGAGAGAGAGAAGGGAAGCCTGATTGCTATTTCAGTATGTAAACATAGGCCAAAAAAGTGCAATTCAAGAGGTTTATTATAGACTTAATTAGCTGCCAGTTATGTCATTAGTTAGAGTAAATGCTCTCTCAGACCAGCAACATTGCTTGTAATATACTGCATTTGCAGTGTTAGGGCAACTATTGACAGGTACAAGAAAGCAAGTGCCGATTCATCGAATTCTGTATCCACTTCTGAAGCTAATACCCAGGTAAGTGACTTTGAATCCTTATTTTTCTGTCTTTATGAATAAATTTGCACTTCAGAAGATATATTCTTACCTTACACCTTTATTAATTACTTGGTTTGATTAACAGTTCTACCAGCAAGAAGCCAACAAGCTGCGCAGGCAAATACGAGAGATACAGGCTTCCAACAGGCGAGCTCCCATTAACCTAATAATATTAATACAAAGTTGAGTTGATGGTCAGTTATTTATACGTATCTGAAATTAAACGACGACTTGGCAGACAAATACTGGGGGAGGGTGTCAGTAGTATGTCCCTCAAGGATCTCAGGGGCACAGAATCCAAAATTGAGAAAGCCATCGCCAGAATCCGTACCAAGAAAGTAAAAATATATGTTGTCAAGTGTTTTTTTATGATCGTACGTGTGAGTATATGTATATATATATGTATCTATGTATGTGATCTTCAATCTTCTTTTTTTTTCATGTCGATCGCAGAACGAGTTGTTGTATGCCGAGATAGAGCTCATGCAGAAGAGGGTAACTATATATATTTTAGGCCAACATTATTTTTTCCAAATATCTATGTCATGAATCTCATTAGGTATTAAAGTTTCTATGATGTTATGCTCGATTATTTACAATGTTAAGTTTAAATACGATGAATAATCAGGAGCTAGAGCTGCACAACGCCAACATGTTCCTCCGAGCAAAGGTCATCATCATCATAATCTGTTTAACTTTCTCCTTTCTCGTAACAATTGAACCAATTCAAGTCCGTACATACATTTTTTTCTTATTATTTGTATTGTTTTGATATGGTGCAGATAGCCGAGAGCGAAAGAGCAAAAGAGCTGCAAATGAACTTGATGCCATCAGGATCAGAGTACCAACAGCAGCCCACCATAACATCTTCACAGTCTTACGACGTTCGTAATTTCCTTCCAATGAATAATCTGATGGAAACCAGTCATCACTACTCTCCTGATGACGAAACTGCCCTTCAGCTCGTGTACGTTTATTTTCTCTCTTTCGTGTGCATTACCTCACATGTATAGTGAATTCCAAATAACAATACTTCAAGTTTAATTTTGCAGCTAATAGAAGGAGTTCTGCTTTGGATTTGGCACTCGAATTCGAGACTTGAGGTCTGATGTCTTGATGAGCAATCTGTACTTTCTTAATTAAGGCCTTGCAATATGTACTATAGACCCAATGTATATGTTGGGCTCATCAACTATGTTTTGTTCAATGTAAAAGCTAACTATGTCTCTGACTATTCACTTTGGTCCATGAATACTGAATCATTTGAATATGGTTGGTTTCAGTGTAGCTAAAATAGATTTTTAGTTTTTACCTATTAATTAAGTGCTGATTGTGCCTGTTATGCACACACCTAAAAAGATTTGGGGAATACTCAGGGATGGATTTAGAAATTTACACGAGTGGGGACTAATGCAAGTGTGAACATCCTGGCGCGGTTTGGGGTAGATCGATTCTTTTCTTCGCCGGTAGAACGCCGGAAACCTGCAAATAACTCTCACACCGGGGGTTGTGTCCGGTGAAGAGCCTCTGATGCTTAAGTCAGTATGTGTATGAGTATACCGAAATTGAGTAATGGTAAAATCATGTTAAGGAAGAAAGACTCACCCCTTTTATATAGGAGTGAGATACTTGACCTAAGGCTGCCCAGATTTGATGAGCTGGCTGCCCAAACTGCTTGTTCGTACTCTGACACACCGCGCGCATGTCAGAGGTGGCGCGGGACGTTGGGAGCTGTCAGAGGTGGTTGTCACTATCAACCAATAAGTTCTCGACACGTGTCCTCCTGCACATGGGATGAATATTCTCTTGAAATTCCGTTAGAGGCTCTTACACGCGCCTGTGACTAGGCCGATTTATGGAGTGCTAAGTCCGTTGAGTGGTCGACCTGTTGAGGTGGACTAAACTGCTCGATCATCTTCCTGGTCGAATGATGGATTGGTCGACTACTTGCCTGGTCGACTAGTTGGCCGGTCGATTTACCCGCCACTCGACTTGGTTTTTTCACGGCATGGCCTCTTCGACCGGTCCAGCAGACCGGTTTAGCCTTGTGGGTATTATATCCTATATCATCTAGTCCCCCCACTCTGGTCGAGTCTGGATGACTCGATCTAAGAGTGTCTTTGTGCTCCTCGCTTTCCTTGATGGCATGATGTCAGATATCGACCACTTAGTGAGTTTCCCGCCCATTCTTTCAATTAATTCTTCTTTAATTGCCAGCAATAAAGTTGTCTGTCACACGTCCTTTCTGTTGCGCCTGCTTTTCTGCCACGCATCGCACCTGTCAGCCACTTTAATTATTGCACCTCCTCGCATAACGCGCTCACTTTGAGCGCCGTGTGAATTAATGTTTTCCACCGTAAGATCTGGCATTTATCCAACGGCTCTCATCTTTCAACCCTTCAACTCTCCAAAGTATAAATTCAACACTTAGCGAATTTTCTGAGTTTTTCCACCTTTGCAAATTTTGAACTCTTTGTGCTCCGAAATTTCTCTCCAACCTTTGCTCTTCTTCGCGGCGATTCCTCTTGTACTCTTCAGGCCTTCTCAATCCCTTCATTTGCAACTATGAGTAAGTTGTTCTTCACTTGAATTTACGTTTCATGTGTCTTGCGCTTTTAAATTTTTTGAATTAGTTGGGTATCTCGAATTTTGCTGACTGGGTGTTCTGAATGTGTTGGGTGCCCATGTTTTCTTGTTAATCACTGTGAATTTTGCTCCTTTCTTCGAAAATCTCCCGAAATTCCTGCTCTTCCTCTTGAATTTTTTCAAAATCACCCCCTCGTAGAACCCTAGTTTTTGAAGTCTCACCTTTTTCGAAAGTTTTTCCCCTTTTTTGATTTCGTTTCTGTTTTGCTTTTTCCAGATTCTACACCTCCATCTCCTTCTTCGACCACTTCTTCCGGTTCGGTTCAAATACTGCTTCCGCACTTGAAGTTGTTCCTCTCTCCATCCTTCGCCCTGGTGATACCGTTCCCACCATCGTTTTTACGGCCCGTGTTGCTTCTGCTAATTTTGGGGATACCATGGATAACATCCCCCTCCGTTATCGTCGACCTGCCTTTGGCTCGTTATATGAGCCAGAGGAGGACAAGGTCACTTCTTCTCAACCTACTTTTCCTACATCTTCGACCATTCCTCCCTCTTCCTCTCAGGCTGTTCCCCCAAAGTCTTCGACCATTCCTCCTTCTCCTCCCCTACTTGATGCTCCGAACTCTCCTCCCAACAAACCTTCGACCAAAAACCCCTGCAAAACCTCCACAAAGCGCCCTTCTTCTATCTCTCTTTCCAACAGTTGGTACACCTCTGAGAAGATTGGCCACCCCAGCGGTTGCGCGTTCTATAGGTCTTCGCCCTCCGACAAATACGATCATCCCCCGAGGGACTGCTATACCTTATTCGAAATCCAATTCAAACTCGGCCTCCGCTTTCCTCTGTGCCCCGAGCAGCTCCAAATTTGCCAATGGTTCGGGCTTCCATTACACCAACTCCCTCCAAATGCCA